TACCCCCTAGCTGGAGGAAGAAGGATTCATACCTTTCCCAAGTGTATTAGCATGGAGGTGAATGTAATGGATTCAACTGGAATTCGAACTCTACTTTCCGATTCCTCAACATAAACTTATTAATATTTTCATCCAGGCCTGGGAAGTTAAGACTTAACAAAAGCCTTGACCCTAAAAAGGCTACCAGTCCAGATAAAATCCCAGTGGTTGTCTTTAATATTAACCCTGAATTATTATCCCTGATTTTAGCAAAACTATTTAACTGTTGCTTGAAGGAGAAGTACTTCCAAGTCTGTAGAACTTGTCACCCTGTTTACAAAAACACAGGTGAGCACTCCTCTTCTTGGCATTGGCTCATCAGTCTCCTCGGTGTCATTAGCATAGTTATTGAGGTATTAATCAGTAAGAGGTACAACCTTTTAAGCGACAAACAATACATGTTTTGGTTGGTTCAGTCCGCTGCTGATATCCTAACTGTCATTGCTCACAGCATCAGTAAGACACTTGACAATAAATACATATCAAGGATGGCTACATTGGATATTTTGAAGGCATTCAGCAAGTTGTGGCATAGAGGGTTGCTGCAAAAGCTCTCAGCTATAGAATCACTGGTAGAATTTTCTCAGTATTCAAGTCCTTCCTAATGACTGAAGGTAGTTGTTAACAGCCAGTCCACTGTAGCCCATGTCATCAATGCAGGCATCCCCCAAGGCTCGCTTCTTGATCCAATTCTCTACATTTATGATCTGTATTGTATACGTCAATCCTTTGTGGATATCTAGGCTGATGGTACAATGGCATATGGGTGCACCTCAAAAATTCTAGATGATCAGTCTGGCAGCTGATCTCTCCTCTGACCTAGCTCTAACAGTTCTGTGGGGCAGAAAATGGCTGGTTACATTCAATGTTACAAGAACCAAACTAGTAGTACTCACGTTCCATCACCTAGCAGACCCTGAATTTTCATCTAATACACTGGGCGGTTGTCCTCTCAGGGAGGCCTCATACCTTGAGCACCTATTGGACTCCCCTCAAGTGGAACTTGTATATATATATACTAAAGATGCTGGGGAAAATGATTGGTTTCCCGTATTGCTCCAGTAAGTACCTGACTCCTGTTCTTGTCTAGCTTTACAAGAGCCAGATCAGACCAAAAATGGAGTACTGCTGCCATATACAAGGATCTGCTGAAAAGTTCATAGGCTCATCAAGATACTTTCATGGAATTTGACCAAATGATGCTTACTTTTCAATATAGTCCTCCTTGCGGTCTGTACACTTCTCCCATTGGTATTGCAGCACTTAGATCCCATTGGTGAAGAAGCTTTCTTCCTGTTAGTCAGAAAAGTCATCAACGGCAGATATGACGTCATCAGCACTGCGATACTGGGTCCCAGCAAAGTATATTTTCATGTTTGGGAACAGATAGTCAAATGGGGCCAAATCAAGAGAATAGAGTGGGTGATCAACCAGTTCAGAGCCACAGTCACACACAGAAGCCATTGAAACTTGTATGCTTGGAGCATTGTCCTGATGAAGCAAGATTCCTTTTGACTGTTTTGCTGGGTGTTTAGCCTTGATAGCCTTTCACAAGTGCAAGTTGGTATAGTACTCTCTATTGATGGTGTAGTCAATAAACACAATGCCTTTTGTATTCTGAAAAACTGAGGCCAAAAACTTACCTGCAGATGAAACAACCTTTGCCGCCTTTGGAACAGGTGATGAGGGATGTTTCCACCACAACATGGATTGTCTCTTTGTCTTTAGCTCAAAAAAGGTTTGCACTTCAAGCTGGATTGGAAGCACTCGGCCAGCAAATCAAACAAGTGACTCTTCCTGAGAGCATCACTTTCTCGCCTGTAATTGAACTCTGATTACGCCTTCGCAAAAATGGCTGACAAACATTTTCTGACTAGGCATGGCTTCCAGATCCAAGGTAACCTGAGTGGTAAGCAGTTCATGCCTGCTGGAATTAGTCGCACCGTTCAGCTCTCTCCGATGCAGTGTACATTTTTGGATGCCCAGGGGAGCACAATTCAAAGCCAGACGTTCCATCCGGTTACAGGAAGTAGTAATAATAACAGTAGCTGTGGTAGTAGTAGTAGTAGCAACACTAATGGTAGCAATAGTAATAATACTAACACTAATATTCATTACCCAATATTCATCCTGGGTTAGAAAACATTCAAGGAAACTAGCTGGATCTTCTTCAAACAGTATCAGATTTTCTTGTGATGTAATCAGCCTGGTTAACACATGGCACCCACATAGCAGAAATCTGTCATGTCAATTTTATTCTGCAGAATATTTTCAACTCTGTATTTGTGTATATTTCTGAAATGAGGTATTATTTACATTATTCAGACTATTGTCTTCATCTTTGTCGCCATATTTATTACGTTTCGGCCATTGCATGCTCTGGCCTTCTTCAGGTGGTTGGAATGTTGAACTTAACCCTTTATTTCGCTCACTGGGGTAGACTGTTCTAGTTCCACATACCATGTTTTATGGATGTGAGTTATCAGTTATTGCCTGTTAATTTCCCTCTGAAAGTTCTCAGGACCTCAAGGACACATGGCACAGTGGATAAAGGCGTTGGGTAGATCCAGTGACAGGACCCAAAGAGTGTGAGTTCAATACCCGGCTAAGGCAGTGGAGAACTTGGAGAGGGGAATTAACAGGAGATAACTGATAACTCACATCCATGGAACGGGCACATGGAACTAGAACGGTCAGCTGGCGAAATAAAGGGTTCAGTTCGATATTCCAACCACCTGAAGAAGGTCGAGCTAACAATGGTCAAACTAATAAATATGGCGACAAAGATGAGGACAATAGTCTGAAAAATGTAAATAATTCTCAACTCCCTCACGTGATATACTAATAGCGTTGGGTATTTGATTTATAGTCAGTTGCCTGTTATCCATTACCATGTAGTGAACACAATGGACGTTTTCCTTGGTGATGGCAGTTGCAGAAACGTCCAGACCTTGAGTCATTTTCAAAACTCGCCCTTCCTTTCCTAAATTCAGCTGCCCACTTTTGCACTGTTGATAAAGCTGGAATGCCTACCCTTATGTCACAACCATGTCAGCATGAATGTCCTTAGGGGCTAAACCATTTTTTTGCAGATACAGAGCAACCTTGGTTCTTGAACATCTCACAAAATTTCGGTTCTTGAACAAAATTGCCAAACTGAGCTAACCTGAACGGAATCATTTCTGAGTTGACCGCCATCTTGTATACATTTGTGTGTTGGTGTTGTGCTTTTTTCTTTCCAAATTTATTGTACTGTGACTTTTTCTCTACATTGATTCCTATTCATAAAATAGTTTCGGTTTACGAGCGGTCTTCAGGAACTAACTAAATTCATGAACTGAGGTTCCACTGTACTTAAAACCATCACAATGCTAAATTTTGTTCATTTTCAGGAGAAGTCGCAATTAATTACTTTTGAAATCTTTTATGAAAAGTCTGTGAGTTTACACGGAAATAAACAATAACGTTATTAATGAGTTGAAATTAATGCATGCAAGATTTCACAGCTCCAGCATCTCTCTTTCATAGTCAGCCTATGAACTTTCCATTGTTGATAGTTCAAGAGTATCTATGCGGCCTTGTGGGTGATGAATTATTTTCTACCTTACAACCTCTTTTCCACAGACAAAACATCACCAACCTCTTGTTTCTCTATCAGTATTTCCATGGAAAGTGTTCAGACTAAGTATGTTAATTTAAACAACTGATACTTGAATTTGGTGACATATTAATTGTGAGTTCAGTCCCTGGGCTGGGTAGTGTGTACTTGGTGGGAACGAGGTGAACAGTACTAAAAATAAGAACTAGATGAGATATCCCTAGACATGGCCAGTGTAATGAGAACAGTCTACCTCCGTAGATTAAATAAAGGGTTCAGTTCAGAATTCTTTGTAGATTACTTGGGTCAACATACACCTGATGAAGGTCAGAGGGCGCTATGGCTGAAATGTTGTGATAGCCACAATGAAGATGAGGACAATAGTCAGAATATAAATAGTGTAAATAATCATGACTCCTCATCTCAGAAATTCTGATAAATAGTAACACTACTTTAGCTGTTGTACTTGAAAGGCATGAACAACAGAATGCAAAGAATCTGCTTCTGTGGATTGAATAAAGTGTTCAATTTGAAATTGAATATTCCCAATTATAACAGGTAAACACCTGATGAAGGCATTGGGTATAAACTGTATACATGTGTAATTAAAAAAATTTAACTTTGATTTAATATTTTCTTTTTTCCTTTTTTTTTTTTTCTTTGAAAAAAAGGTTTGCACTTCAAGCTGGATTGGAAGCACTCGGCCAGCAAATTGAACAAGTGACTCTTCCTGAGAGCATCACTTTCTCACCTGTAACTGAACTCTGATTACGTCTTCGCAAAAATGGCTGACAAACATTTTCTGACCAGGCATGGCTTTCAGATCCAAGGTAACCTGAGTGGCAAGCAGTTCATGCCTGCTGGAATTAGTCGCACCGTTCAGCTCTCTCCGATGCAGTGTACATTTTTGGATGCCCAGGGGAGCACAATTCAAAGCCAGACGTTCCATCCGGTTACAGGAAGTAGTAATAATAACAGTAGCTGTGGTAGTGGTAGTAGCAACACTAATGGTAGCAATAGTAATGTCTGTAGTAATAGCAATAATAATACTAACACTAATGATATCAATATTGGCACTGGGGAGAGCAGTTGCTGCCATGGGGAATTCTGTTGTGGTAAACAGTCGGCCCAACATACAAGTTTGCAGCAGCAGCAACAACAACATCATCACCAGCAACAAGCTATTGCAGTTAATAAAAATTTAGTCAGCCAGCAGCACCAGCACCATCAACCTCATCATCATCATCATCACCATCAGCAGCAGCAACAGCAACAACCACCACCACAACAACAACAACAACAACACATACATCAACATCAGCTACCTCTATTGTCATTAATACCAAGACCGCAAACTCCAAATATGATGCAAGCGAACCAGCAGAAACCTAAACTTCCTGAAAATCCAACCATTGCTGATGTTATGGCCTCTTTGATTCTCCCAGCGCCTACCCTGCTAACAACGACTAGCCCCCCAGTCATGACCACCACAAACTCGGATATTATATCATCTTCAGCCACAGACATCCTAACGACCGCAACCTCGGACATCCTAACAACCACAACCTCGGACATCTTAACAACCACAAATTCGGACATCTTAGGAAGCACTAATACAAACATCTTAACCCCCACCAGCTCAAACATTGCACTGAACACAAACCCTGAGATGATGATGATGAAGACCAGTCGTAAGAAATCAGAAAGTGATGCCAACAAGATGCGTTACTACTGTGAATTCTGCAACAAAGAATTTGTGCAGCGATATGTCCTGAACATGCATCGACGGACGCACACAGGTGAGAAGCCACACCAGTGTACAATCTGTGAAAAGAGCTTTGCCAGACGTGATACCCTCCAGGTCCACACGATGACCCACACGGGTCTGAAACCATATCAGTGTGAACTCTGTCCCAAAAAATTTGCCCAGAAAGACAAACTCCGTATTCACCACCGTACGCACTCTGGTGAGAAACCGTACGAATGTAGTGAATGTAAACGATGTTTCTCGCAGAAGCGCACCCTGCAGATGCACCAGCGAATCCACAGCGGTGAGAAGCCGTTCCGCTGCGAGGTGTGCCATGTCGGCTTTGCCCGCAGCGAATACCTGCGTATGCACCGACGAGGACACACGGGCGCTCGGCCTTATGCTTGCGATTTGTGCTGTCAGCGGTTTGCTCGACGGGATACTCTGCGAGTCCACAGGCGAATACACACCGGAGAGAAGCCGTATGCGTGCAGTGTGTGCCCAAAGCGGTTTGCAGCAAAAGACAAGCTGGTCATACACAGCCGAACGCATAGTGGGGACCGTCCATTCTCCTGCGACCTCTGCTGCCAGACATTTGCACAGAAGGCCACCCTGAGAGTTCACCGGCGTATACACACTGGTGAGAAACCTTATCACTGCGAGGTCTGTGGGAAGAAGTTCTCGACTTCAGATACCATGCGACGACACCAGCGCACACACAAGACGCCTACCCAGCCCGGTCTTGTGAAGAGTATACCCGCAACAAACAGCAGCACAGATAAACCAATGACAGAAACGAACAAAGAAGAATACTCCACGATTAATAATTATCTTTGGTTGTTGTAGAACACCTTTGCTTGGGGAAATTTTATGAGAGGGTGCAGAAAAGTTTTCAGCCCAACCAAAGGGCCTATCCAAAAAAAATCTGTTTGATCATTTAGTAAGACTTTAGAAAGTGGGTTGAACTGAGAACCATTCAGTACACCTTGCATATCTGTCCCATAATAATTGATACATTTGCATATAAATTTCATGCACTAAATGTAACAAGTATTATGGGACAGAGGTAGTAAAATTATTATCTCAGTCCCATAATAATTGATACATTTGCATACACATTTCATATGCTAAATGTAACCACAATTATGGGACAGTCTATTTTACCTTAGAAATATGTATTTTCATACTATGGATACCAATTTCCAATATTTCCTTAGTTATTTAACTTGATATATATTTTTTGTTGATTTTTATCTGGTAACAAAACCATTTTTTTTTCTCTCTCCATAGTTTTTACACTCATTGAACTTTATAATGAATGAGGTCTTGGCTTAAATCATCATCTAATGTACTGAGTTATTAAACTCGCAACCAATATGGCACCAAGTTGAAATCAATGGTCCTTGGTGAGTAAGCTAATTCAGGAGACAGTGTAGTGTGTTCAATCCTCATGGGTGCTCTATTCTTGTGGCCTTGTGCCATACTAAGCTAAGAGCGACAGTTAGTAAACTAATCCAGGAGACTGATATAATTCTTGTATCATAAGTTGATAGACTTTTTGCTTTAAAAAAAAACAAAATGGTCCTAATTTCTCTCACATTTAAAAAAAAAAAAAAAAAAAAAAAAATGTCACCCTTAAACAAAAGATAAAAATGAATAGTCATAAGATGAAAATAACTTTACAGTTTTATTCAAAAGTGAAAGAACCAAAATTAAGTTAGATGCTCTGTATTTGAAAGATGACATGGCTGAAACTTGCTGAAGGAATTGCAAGTTTTTCATGAATACAATTTACAGAATGCAATAAAGATGATTGTTGCTGATACAACCGGTGTTAATGTTGAGAAAACGGGTGAACAGACAGACAAGGTCATCCGTCAGCATGCCCCATAGCATCCATTTGCTACTTCCTGATGATGTTTATGTTTGTCATCATAGGGGTTTTGGTTGTGCATATTTTAGGAGACAGCATGTGTTCCTACAGTTTCCATTTGACTCTGAAGAATCCGGCTTCATCCATTGTCCAGTATAAAGAATCACAGTGCCAAGTCTGGTCTGTTCAAACCTGACATTGACCACATCCAATATCCTGCTGCCAGTGTCTTCACTGTAATCCTGGCAGAGGTGGCTTCTGGGTATCATACTTTGGTCATTACAGTTTTTAATTCAGGATTGTCCTTCTTCTAGACTGGAGAGCCTTGTCTGTCCTGTTATTTAAGGCCAAAACATACTTTGTATTGTCAGAATAATTTTTTTTTTCCTCGCATTAATTGTTAAACAAATTTTTTTTTTTTTTTAGAATAACTGGTTTGTTGAGATACAAATCCTTCTATTTAACCTATAGCTGGGGGGAGAAGAGAAGGATTCATAGATTTCCACAGGGTATTTGTCGCTATCCATTTCACCAAAACTTTTTTTTTTTTTTTTTTTTAAATGGTTGAGTTGTCAAATTGCAACGAATGTTTTCAGCAAAGGCTATTTACAAACCGGTTCATCAATTGTCAACATTGTATTCTGGACAGGATTCTCCGTTTGATGCGGACACCATTTCTACAAACATTGATTATCCGTTTGAGACTCAACAAGCTAAGAATTATGAAGATCAATAAATCAGGATGTAGAGATGGCACAATTTTTTTTTTTTTTTTTTTTTTAACCATTTAATACGGGTGTTTAGATTCTTTCAAGAAAAATGGTAATTTACTTTGATTGAATTTTTTTTTTTTTTAGCAATGTAAGACAGAGTTCACAAGCCAATCTCGCTATCTTCGCATTTATTCTTATATCTACAAGGAAGACATTGGAGACAATCTGCAGATTCATTTCATATGACTGGACACAGAATTTTAATCAGATGTGCAATGAAATGACTTTAACAACATGTCTGATATGCTGAAAAAAAACCCCCAAAGAAACCATTAAATCCCTTGGAGAAGCAGCAGAAGCCATCTATGCTTGAGATAAGAAGAGATTAATGTGCAGAATGTTCGTTGAAAGTGATGTAGGAACTCTATGGTACCTGCAAAAACAGATAAGTTTAATTTATTTTAAGCTGCTGTTCGACTATTTTAAAGTGGTGTTGGTGTCTGAGGGGCTGAAGCCAGTGACGGCATAGGACACAACACCATTTGATAGACATGTTTAGATTTTATTTTGAAGAAAGAAGACTTTGAATGATTTTCAGAAAATTCCAAATCTTAGCAATGCAAGACAGAATTCAAAAGCCATTCTTGCTATCTTTGTATTCATTCTCACACCTCCAACAAGGACAGCATCGAAGGAAGTATACAGATTAATTTCATACAACTGGTCATAGTATTGGTTTAATAATGTGAGGCTTAGCTCCAGCTGTTGTATTCTAGTATTCTAGTACACTTGTATGTCTACCAACTGGTGTGTCTACTTACATTTATATCTTGGTCAGCCTATGAACTTTCAAGCCGATCCTCGTAAGATGTTCAATAGAAAGGACTTGAAAAACTTGTCAAAAATAGCCTTATAAAAAGAAAAAAAAAAAAAAAAGATTAAACTCTTTGGAGAACTACTGGAAGCAAGAGCCATTCACACACAAAAATGCCAAGAAGTAATCAATGCAGATAATGAGCACTGAAAGTGATTTGGGAATTGCAACCTTCGATTTATACTAAGCAATAAGCAGTGATGTCCAGCTTATATAACATTTGTGAGCTGTTGAGTTGTTTTTATTATAAAATAAGCTTATTAAATATACAGTTACATGTGCAAAAATTTTTTTTTTTTTTTTTTTTTTTCTTATTAGGGGTGGCATTTTTAAAAAAACATTAAAATAAAAGTTGATTTCTTTGTTTTTATGTAAAAGTTCATTGAATTATGATACAGTAACATGAGGTTAAAAAAAAAAAACATAACTCTAATGCTTCTATTCTCATGGATGTCCCATGTGCCAGACTAAGCTTATTCAATATCTATAACTGAATATTCAGTTAAAATATTAAAAAAAAAATGGCAGGGTTTATAAAGGCTTGGAAAATTGGGGGTCGGGTTGAAAGATGGCCGATATTGCTTTGATTGATTGTTTATCAAGATTTTAAGATTGACTTTAAATGTTCAGCATAATTATGTTGACATCGGGGTGGGTAATTCTGGAAATTGTTTAAATCCTGAATTTACCTTACAGACAACTGATGTAACTCTTCTGTTCTCTTTACAGTTACAGATCATAATGATGCAAAAAAACTTGCCTACGGTTCATTAAGTTTTTGTTCCTAATTTACAAAAAGAAAACAAACAAACAAACAAAACTACACACACACACACACACACACACACAAATGTGACTCCCTCCCCCCAAGGACAATAGTCCCTTTTCTTCTGCATTGTTTCTTTAATTTAAGAAAAATAATGTGCGATTCAGAAACTTGTGATTTATTTCTTTTTTTTCTTTTGTTGAACGCTGTTAATAGACTTATATATGGAAGATATAAGCCATTGTTTCCAGATATTTTTTAATCACACACTATATATATATATATATATATTAGTGGTACTTGCTTGGAGAAACCTTAGGTATTTCGGATTATAGTTGAGCAAACCAACACCGAGGGGAAAAATGAGGAATAAAAAAAGAAAGAACTAAGAACATGAAATTGAGGCGAAAACAATCGTCCAGAATTCAAGCTCAGAGTTCAAAGAAAAAAACCCCACCAAAACGAGTAAAAATCAACTACGTAAAGTGCTCAATACATGAAGTAGAGCAAACCTAATATAAACCTAAAGAGCCAGGTAAACCTACCTAGGTTTCACCTAAATGGATCGTCAGTTTTTTTTTTTTTTTTTTTTTTTTGTCATGTGGTCATGGTTGTTTTTGGTTTAAGCTATATATTCTGTTCCATTTTTTTTTTTTTACATCTTTGGCCAGTTTTACCCTGACGATCCATTTAGGTGAAACCTAGGTAGGTTTACCTGGCTCTTTAAGTTTATATTATATAATATATATAAAATCAATCAAAATGGTGAATATCTTTTGCCATGAAAATGCTGAATCAAATTTTCACTTCACTGAATGTTTCCTTTTGCTGAGGAGTTTAAATCGGTATTTCCAAAACATTTTTGCCGATATCCCACCTAAACATCTCTAAAATCCTTATGCCCCACCCCCAATGACATATATTTTTTATTATTCAAAAAGTGAACTCCTATTCATGTGGAGGAAGCCTAAAAGGCCATTAATTTAGCTTAAGAACTTGAGATTGCACATATGCAATAGTCTTATTTAAGTTTAAAATATTTCTAAAAATACTGTTACTTATATATATATATATATATATATATATATATATATAGTCATACACAGACACTGTTTTACAGCTCATCAGTGTGGGTAGACATCCAATTGCCTCTAGCCAGGATTGAAACCCAACTGATTTGGTATCAGTCTGAGATTTTACCCTTAAGCCATTAGCGCACAGCAGGGATGAAGGTGAATTTAGATGTATTTATTCTTAGACAGACACACCAGTGACCGGAGAATGGGATTCGTCTTAATGAAGAGTCTTGCAGCAGTAATAGTCACTGTTTACAAATTCACTTTCCTCCCTGAACTGGGTGTAACGGCAAAATTGTTCATCCCACAAATTGTTTAATATCTAAAAAAAAAACTGAGTTTCTTTTTTTCCAGGTTAACAGATAAGACGTTTAGCTATCTTGACACCATTTGTCATAAGAATCACTAAAAAATCCTTTGAATTATTCAACTAGTAAGAGAACAGGTAAAATCTTTTTGTACCAGCCTAACTGCACAGTGGCAAGAGGAAAAACATTATTCAGGCTTTCAGTAATACTATCAACATTCATACTCTGGCCTCCAT